GGGGAGGCACCAGAAGGAGTGCGCCGATATATCCCATTTTCACAGCAGATCTTGTGTTAGTAAAAATAATGGCATGCGTGAAAGATGAAGAGAACCAAATGCTTATTTCGAATTTTATAATCGTTTAGGTTATTAAAAATTGTTGACCCTTTGTGGGGCAGGTACCAGAAGAAATGGTCCGATCTCTAACATCTTTAAAGCAGATCTTATTTTGATTAAAACATTAACATTTGCCAAGTCTGAAGGGAATCGATTGTTAATTTCGCGTTTTATGAGCTTCATGGATATTCAAAAAATTAACCCTTTGTGGGGGAGGCACCAGAAGGAGTGCGCCGATATTTTCCATCTTTACACCAGATCTTGTGTTAGTAAAAATAATGGTATGTGTGTAATTTGAATAGAACCGGATGCTAATTTCGGATTTTATGATTGTTTTGGTTATTTAAAATTTTGACCCTTGTGGGGTAGGTACCAGAAGAAATTGTCTGATCTCTACCATCTTTATAACAGATCTTGTAGTGATGGAAATATTGAGATGTACCAAGTCTGAATGAAATCGGATGTTAATTTCGCGTTTTATGAGCTTCATGGATATTCAAAAAATTAACCCTTTGTGGGGGAACTACCAGAAGTAGTGCGCCGATATATTCCATCTTCACAGCAGATCTTGTGTTAGTAAAAATAATGGTATGTGTGTAATTTGAATAGAACCGGATGCTAATTTCGGATTTTATGATTGTTTTGGTTATTTAAAATTTTGACCCTTGTGGGGGAGGTACCAGAAGAAATTGTCTGATCTCTACCAACTTTATAACAGATCTTGTGTTGATAGAAATATTGAGATGTGCCAAGTCTGAGGGGAATCGATTGTTAATTTCGCGTTTTATGAGCTTCATGAATATTCAAAATTTTGACCCTTTGTGGGGGAGGTACCAGAAGGAGTGGACCGATATTATCCATCTTCATACCAGATCTTGGGTTAATAAAAATATTGTGATGTGTGTAATTTGAAGACAGTCGGACCTTTTTATTACATTTTATAAGAGTTAGAATTATTCAAAATTTTGACCCTTTGTGGGGGAGGTACTAGGTAGTGTGAACCGATTTGGTCTATTTTCGCACCTGGCCTAGCACTGATGCAAATATTAGGATGTGCAAAGTTTTAGCAAAATTTGATTATCCTTCCTCTTTCTATGCAGTAAATTATTATTTTTTTTTTGAAAAAGTTGACATTTTGTGGGGGAGGTACCCGAAGGAGTGGACCGATATATTACCATTTCTCACCAGACCTTGGGTTAATAAAAATATTGTGATGTGTGTAATTTGAAGACAGTCGGACCTTTATATCACATTTTATAAGAGTTATAATTATTCAAAATTTTTACCCTTTTTGGGGGGAGGTACTTGATGGAGTGGACCGATATTGTCCATTTCCGCACCTGACCTAGCACTGATGCAAATATTAGGATTCGCAAAGTTTAACCAAATTCGGATTACTCTTTCCCTTTCTGTGCATTAAAATACTTTTTTTTTGAAAATTACGACCTTTTGTGGGGGAGGTACCCGAAGGAGTTGACCGATATTGTCCATCTCTGAACTCGATCTAAGTTTGACAACAATCGTACGATGTACCAAGTTTGGGCCAAATCGGATACTCCCTTCGAGAGGATATAACAGTTAGAATTATTCAAAATGTTAACCCCTTGTGGGGGAGGTACTTGATGGAGTGGATATATATTAACAATTTTCGCACCTAACCTAGCACTGATGCAAATCCTTGCTAATTTGGAGCAAAATCGGATTATCGTTTCTCTTTCTGTGCAAAAAAATAACTTCTTTTGATTTTTTGTGGGAGAGGTACCTGAAGGAGCGGACTGATATTACCCATCTCCTAACTCGATCCAAGTTTGACGAAAATATTACGATATACCAAGTTTGGATCAAATCGAATACTCCCTTCGAGAGTTATGGTGAGCACCAGTCAGACAAACAGACGGACGGCCATAGCTAGATCGACTCCAAATGTCCTGAAACGGATTTATTTTAAAGAGACCTATTGTCTAAAACCGTTATTTCGATGAGGCACGTTTTGGTCGTATCAAATGCTATATACCCTCTCTAGCCATACTGCTGAGGGTATAAAAAGGTATTATAGACCCAGGTATAGTCTCGTGTAAACCTTGCAGAAAATCATATCCCGAATATCTGAATTTTGAATAATAAATAACTTCCGCCTTTGATCGATTCAAAAACCTTATCATAACCCTATCCTCTCAGTTCTATATTTATCTCCAACTATTTTACCATGCTCAGCCAAGTTTCCACCTCAAAATGGTGGCAGCTTTCGAATTTAGTGCCGCATAAAATGCCATAGTTCAGCAGCTTTGAAGTTGATTTCCAGTAACTCTGAGAATGTGTACCAAGAACTTAGAGAAAAACTCTTTTAAGTTTCAACTAAGAAACCAAATAATAGAAACTGATGACACAAAGAGCAGAGAGGGGGGAGGAAAAGCAAATAAAAACAATTTAAACTTTACATACATCACGAAGTGGCAAGGAGCAGGAGCAACAGAAAAAAAAAAACGAAAAAAAAACTGCTAAGTCAATATGTGCTTCTTTTTTGTTTTGTTTCTTTGTCTTTCCGCACACAAAGCGATAGACAAGAGAAGGAGAACGACAAATGAGCCGACAATCAAACATTGAAAAGGTAAGGCTATCAGTCAGGCAGTCTGCTAGTAAACAATTGCCGCAAAGCTGGCGGCAGACAGCAACAGAGGAGATATAAGAATTGGGGGGAAATTGGTGGCGGGGTGGGCTTACAGAATGAAGCCATGAAGAGGCCAGTCTGAGCAAATAACACCAAAATGATACTACTCAACAAAACTACTGCGCTTCGGTTCTTGGTGTCTTATTAGCATCATAAGCCATAAATCAGGTGGCAAACGTTTGTGTTTTTCTTTTCCCCTACCCAGCTAAAGACGCAAAGAAAATGATAACAGGAAATAAGTAAAAAAAGGTAAAAGTTCGGCCGGGTCGAACTTTGAATACCCTACACCATTTGGAAGGAGTTTGTCAATTTTCAAAAAATGAAATTCTTTAAAAATTCTGTTAAAAATCCTAAAAAATACCGAATTTAGCTGTTATATTAGGGTCTATAGGACGACGTGGACCTGCGTAGGCAACTTTTGTCAAAAGCCATTACAATATTCAATTGCGAAACTTGAAAAAAAGGCGGTCGCTAAAATTATTAAAATACCGAATCTCGGGAGATGCTTTTATATGGGGGCTATACGAAGGCGTGAACCGGCACAAATAATTTTCTGTCATAGGCTGTAGCATCCATTGCGAACTTCAAATGCCAAATTTGGAATAATTTCGGTGAATAGTGTAGCTGAAAACATCAAAATACCGAATATCGGGAGATACCGCTATATGGGGGCTATACGAAGACGTAAACCTGCACAGACAATTTTCTGTCATAGGCTGTTGTATCCATTTCGAACCTCAAATACCAAATTTGAAACATTTTCGGTGCATAATGTCGCTAAAATCATCGAAATACCGAATATCGGGAGGTACCTTTATATGAGGGCTATACGAAGACTTGGACCTGCAAAGACAATTTTCTGTCATAGGCTGTAGTATCCATTACGAACTTTAAATACGAAATTTAAAACATTTTTGGTGCATGATGTCGCTAAAATGATCGAAATACCGAATATCGGAGGTACCTTTATATGGGGGCTATACGAAGACCTGGACCTGCACAAACAATTTTTTGTCTTCGGCTGTAGTAGCCATTACGAACTTCAAATACCAAATTTAAAACATTTTCGGTGCATGATGTCGCTGAAATCATCAAAATACCGAATATCGGGAGGTACCGTTATATGGCGGCTATGCGAAGACAATTTTCTGTCATGGGCTGTAGTATACATTACGAACTTCAAATGCCAAATTTGAAACAATTCCGGTGAATAATGTCGCCTAAATCACCAAAATACCGAATATCGGGAGGTACAATTATATGGGGGCTATACGAAGACGTGGACCTTCACAGACAATTTTCTGTCATAGGCTGTAATATCAATTACGAACTTCAAATGCCAAATTTGATACAATTCCGTTGAATATTGTCGCTAAAATCGTCAAAATACCGAATATCGGAAGGTGCCGTTATAAGGTGGCTATGCGAAGAAGTGGACATGCACAGACAATTTTCTGTCATAGGTTGTAGCATCCATTACGAACTTCAAATACCAAATTTGAAACAATTTCGGTGCATGATGTCGCTAAAATGATCGAAATACCGAATATCGGAGGTACCTTTATATGGAGGCTATATGAAGACTTGGTTGGACCTGCACAGACATTTTTTTTCTTCGGCTATAGTATCCATTACGAACTTCAAATACCAAAATTGAAACAATTCCGGTGAATAATGCCGCTAAAATCATCGAAATACCGAATATCGGGAGGTACCCTTATATGGCGGCTATGCGAAAACGTGGACCTGCACAGACAATTTTTTTCCATAGTCTGTAGTATCCATTACGTATTTCAAATACCAAATTTGAAACAATTCCGGTGATCAGTGCCTCTAAAATCATCGAAATATCGAATATCGGGAGGTACCCTTATATGTGGGCTATACGAAGACGTGGACCTCCATGGCCCATATTCAATGCCAAAAGTCCTGCAGGCATAATATACATTTGAGTAAAATTTTTTCAACCTACTTCATTTCGTTCGGAAGCTAGAGTGATTTCCACAGACGGATAGAGGATTAGACGGGAGGACGGACATCGCCAGATCTTCTTAGAATTTTCTCCTGATCCACAATATATATAGTTTGTAGGGCCTATTATGAATATTTCGAGGAGTTACAAACGATAGGACAATCCTAATATACCCTCCATCCTATGGTGCAGGGCATAAAAATGATATCCAGGTGGATATCCTGGCAAAAAAAAAAACAAAATATTTTAACTTTGACTTACCTTTCAATGCCGGACATATTCTACGCCATATACTCAAACAGCCGCAGCGATGAAATTGTCCCAATGCCAATTCCATATAGAAGAGCGGTAATCCGCCAAATACCAACATTATGCAATAGGGTATGAGGAAAGCTCCGCCACCGTTCTGGTAACAGATGTAGGGAAAACGCCAAACATTGCCCAAATCGACGGCAAAACCAATAACGGCTAAAAGAAATTCGGCTTTCTGGCCCCAGGTTTCACGGCGGCGTTCTGTTACGGAAACAACCAAGACCCGCTGCAAAAAAATTCGAAGGAAAAAAACCAAAAAAAGAAATGAGAAATTAATAACGGAAAGAGGAAAGGGAAATGAAATGAATTTATTTTCAATTTCAAATTTAAATTGGAAAAAAATTTCTAAATTTCCCAAGAAAATCCGCCTGGCCGAAAAGATTGATTTCCATTTGGAAATCTGTTTTTCAACTTGGTCGAATTATGTTATCTTTATGCAATAACCCTTTAATATTCAATAATGCCTTTGAATAAACAATTACTTGTCCTCATCATCTTCTTTTTCTTCTTTAACTTTCCGAACACTTACCTCATTATTTGTTAATTTGGGCGCCAGGGGATCTGTGACTTTGGCCGGCGTTGCATTATCCGTATCATCTTCATTCGAGTCATCCTCATTGGGTGGTGATTCTTTGTTATTGCTCCAAGGACTTGTTGTTGTGCCTGCTGTGTTGTTGCTCACTGTTGTTGTTGCTGCTGTCGCGGATGCATTAGTGGCTGTTAAATTATTTGCGAATTCACAACTGTTGCTGCCGTTATTTTTCTTTGAACGTTCCATGGCTAAAAAGCGTTGGACATAAAGAAACCTATTGTAATGCCTATGACAGGATGGTCGTTTCTATTCCGGGGGTGGGTAAATATTTTTTACTTTACTAGGGCAGTAGTTGAGTGTCTGTGTGTGTGTGTCTCTGTGTTTGGGTGTTAAGTTGCGTTACGGGTTTCTGATTGATTAGTTGTGGGCTTTTGAGTTGTTGCTGTCAGAGCTATGGCTTAATTTAGTTACATGACAATCAGCTGGGTAGTAGATCTCTGACTTTGTTTGTTTTTTTCTCTTTCTCTCTCTTGCTCTCCCGCACTCTCTGGCTCTCCTTCTAACTGCCTGTCTGTCTGTCTGTTCTCTGAGTATTCGAATTACAAATTTTGTCACTTAAAGATCATTATCACCAGCCACTAACGTCATCATTAAAGCCACAACCGCTGCCACATGTTGTTGGGGTTTTAAATGTTGAAATTATTGCACATTAAAGTCTGTAATTTTGTTAGCCATGCTGGGTGTCAAATGTCAATATCTACAACCTGTAATATTGAAAAAAAAAAATAAATAAATAGATAATGGAATTATATGGATTAGCAAATGTTACTTTGTAGGAAAAACAGGGCACAGAACATGTGATTTGGGGTGACTTAACTTCAGATTTGTTAAATTGGCGTTTATATGGGGAAATCTTATAGCAAGTTTACATACACCATTTTCAAACGGGTTAATCGACATAAATTACCCAACAAAATAAAGTTAACGCATATTTTTCCCAATCAAATTTATTGAGATTGGTCATTTGTCAGAGTTAACCACGGAAAAAGATCCGTATGTAAACATACTATTATAGTAGGTTTACAGTTAACCATATTTAACAAATCCAATGGCTTTATCTTAAATAAATTATTATTTACGTCAAATAAATTCTCATAACGAAGATCTACCCGGCATGGAACTCTAAAGGTGAGAATACATAAAACGCTTTTTTTGGATGGATTAAGTCATCAGCTGGCTTCGTATAGGAAAAAAATAGTTTTAGGAGCAAAGGAGTTTTAGATTGACATAGTTCGATTTTGGCCCGATATATTCCATCTTCACAGCAGATCTTGTGTTAGTAAAAATAATGGCATGTGTGTAATTTGAAGAGAATCGAATGTTTATTTCAGATTTTATGATCGTTTTGGTTTTTCAAAACTTTGACTCTTTGTGGGGGAGGTACCAGAAGGAATGGTCCGATCTCTACCAACTTTATAACAAATCTTGTGTTAATGGAAATAATGAGATGTACCAAGTCTGAATGAAATCGGATATTAATTTCGCGTTTTATGAGCTTCATGAATATTCAAAAAATTAACACTTTGTGGGGGAGGTACCAGAAGGAGTGGACCAATATATCCCCATTTCTCACCAGACCTTGGGTTAATAAAAATATTGTGATGTGTGTAATTTGAAGACAGTCGGACCTTTATATCACATTTTATAAGAGTTACAATTATTCAAAATTTTGACCCTTTGTGGGGGAGGTACTAGGTAGTGTCAACCGATTTGGTCTATTTTCGCACCTGGCCTAGCACTGATGCAAATATTAGGATGCGCAAAGTTTGAGCAAAATCGGATTATCGTTTCTCCTTCTGTGCAGTAAAATATATTTTTTTTTTTGATATATTTGACCTTTTGTGGGGAGGTACCAGAAGGAGTGGACCGATATTATCCATCTTCGCAGCAGACCTTGGGTTAATAAAAATATTGTAATGTGGGTAATTTGAAGACGATCGAACTCTTACATCAAATTTTATATAAGTTAAAATTATTCAAAATTTTGACCCTTTGTGGGGGAGGTACTGGATAGAGTGAACCGATTTGGTCTGTTTTTGCACCTGGCCTAGCACTGATGCAAATATTAGTATGTGCAAAGTTTTAGCAAAATCGGACTATCCGTTGTCTTTCTATACAGAAAATATTTTTTTTTTTTTTGAAAATTGTAACCTTTTGTGGGGGAGGTACCAGAAGGAGTGGACTACACTTGTTTGTTCTTTTCCGAAGAAGCCAGCCGATGACCTAAGCCAAAAAGGCCTTTTATGTATTCTCACCGTAACACACACATACTATAAAAATGTTTTTTTTTATAAAAAAAGGTTACCACCGGGAATACCCATTTTTGGGATTTTTACTATTTTTGTGGGGATTGTGGTATTTATTAATTTCATAGAAAAAAACTCATTAAAATGTTAAAACATCCAATATTTCCAATATTTCATCATTCCAAGTCATTTTTAGAATCCCAAAATTAAGTTCTACAAATCCCCAATTTTTGGGATTTTTAATTTTCACAGTTCTGATTGTTATTATTAACAGTATGACCTATCTTACTTAGTTATGGATCATTCCTATTATTTTTAATGAAAGATACGGAGGAAATTTTGAAAAAAATTTATACTCAATCTGGGATTTTCGTTCATCTTTTAGGGAATAAAAAATATTATTAATTTTTATGACTTTTTTAGAAAAATATTGCGTGGATTCGGAGGAAAACTCGTTTTTATACTTTTTTAAGTTAATTTTACAATTCCCGAAAAAAAAAATTGAAAATCCCCATTTTCTGGGATTTTTAGTTTTGAAATAAATTTTGTTTAGTAATTTGTATTTATAAAAATAATACATTATATATCAAATATACTACCGTATTTACCATATTTTCATAAATTTTTGAAAAATAAATAGTAATACATAATAATTCCCACTTTGGGATTTTTAAAATTTTTGTGGGTATTGTGGTATAATTTGATTTATAAACATGTTTTATAAAAAAAATAAATAAAACATAATCCACCATTTTGTGCTAATTTTTTTGAAATTCCCAAATTCATTTTTAAAAATTCCCAATTTCTGAGATTTTTAATTTTCTCAATTCTGATTGTTATTAACGACAGTATGACTTATCTTACTTAGTTATGGGATGTTTCTAATATATTTAAGGTAAAATACTAAGGAAATTTTGGAAAAAAATTGATACCCAATCTGGGATTTTCGTTGAATAGATAAATAAAAAAATAAAATTAATTTCTATGACTTTTTTAAGGAAAATATTTTACTTCATTTGAAATAAACACGTTTTTCTACTTTTTTAGGTTAGTTTTACAATTCCCAAAAAAAAAATAAAAATCCCCATTTTCTGGGATTTTTCATTTTTCAAGAAAATTTCTTCCGTACTTTGCATACATCAAAAATACTACATTATTGATGTATAATGTATATACAACTTTATTTATCTTATTTTCATAAATTTTGAAATAGAAGAGATAATACATGAAAATTCCCACTTTGGGATTTTCAACTTTTTTTGTGGGGATTGTGGTATAGTTTGCTTTATAAACATGTTTTATAAAAAAAGACTAAATAAAACATCAAACAAATCCAATAATCCACAGTTCTGTGCTATTTTTTTTTTTTTTTTTTTTTGAAATTCCCAAATTAAGTTCCAAAAATCCCCAATTTCTGATATTTTTAATTTTCAGCATTCTGATTGTTATTAATGACCCATCTTACTTAGGTATGGGGTATTCTTAATATTTTTAAAGCAAAACGGAACAAATTTTGGAAAAAAATTGATACCCAATCTGGGATTTTTGTTGATCTTTTTTGGGAATCGGGGATAATATTAATTTCAAAGGACTTTTTTAAGGAAAATATTGTGTGAATTCGGAAGAAAACTAGCTTTTTACACTTATTAAAGTTAATTTTACAATTCCCAAAAAAAATTAAAAAATCCCCATTTTCTGGGATTTTTCATTTTTCAAGAAAATTTCTTCCGTACTTTGTATACATCAATATATATACTACATTATATATCAAATATACTACGTTATTTACCATATTTTCATAAATTTTTGAAAAAGAAAAGGTAATACATGGGAAATCCCACTTTGGGATTTTCAACATTTTTTTGTGGGGATTGTGAGATATATTGATTTATAAACATATTTTATAAAAAAAAAACTGAATAAAATATTAAAGACATCCAATACTACACCATTTTGTGGTATATTTTTTTTAATTCGCAAATTAAATTCTAAAAATCCCCAATTTCTGGGATTTTTAATGTTCTCAGTTCTAACTGTTATTTACGACAGTATGAGCTATCTTACTTAGTTATGGGATGTTTCTAGTATTTTGAAGGAAAAATACTGAGGAAATTTTGGAAAAAAATTGTTAACCAATCCGGGATTTTCGTTGATATTTTTTATTAATTTCAATGGAATTCTTTAAGGAAAATATTAATGGGATTCGGAGGAAAACTCGTTTTTTAGGTTGGTTTCAAAATTCCTGAAGAAAGTTTGAAAATCCCCAATTTCTGGGATTTTGAATTTTGAAATAAATATGCACATCAAAAATACTACATTACATTACATCACATATTTTACATTATTTGCCGTATTTTCATAAATTTTGAGAAAAAAGAGCAATACATTAGGAATCCCACATTGGGATTTTCAGCATTTTTTATGGGAATTGTGAGATTTTTGAATTTTACGATTTATTTTGAATAGAGAATTGGTAAGGAACCAAAACAGGCTTAATTTAAGTCAATTTTAAAAATTCCCAAATTAAGTTACAAAAATTCCCCAATTTCTGGGATTTTCAATTTTTACGATTCCGATTGTTATAAATGATCATATAACCTTTATAACCTATTTTTCAAGATACATTCTGAGAAAATTAAAAAGAAAAACTATTATTCCCATTCTGGGATTTTTGTGGGATTTTTTAGGAATCAAAAAAAATTAATTGATGAAATATTGTCTGTACCGGTAGAAAAAGACTTTTTAAACTTTTTTATGTTATTTTTACAACTCCCAAAAAAATTAGAAAGATTCCCCAATTTTGGGATATTGAATCTTTCATACAATTTTGTTCTGCATTATAATTATATTGTCAATATTTTTGTGGGAATTGCAGGACTTATCGATTTTAAGATTTTTTTCACGAAAAAAATTTATGTGAATTGATTAAAAAATACAATACTGAGCATTTTCAGTTAATTTTTTAAATTCCAAAATTTAGTCCCAAAAATACCCAATTTCTGGGATTTAAAAATTTTCATTAAATTTGTTTCTGCACTACAATTATACATCAAATATACTTCATTATTTACTTTATATTCATAAATTTGAAAATCTCCACTACTGGGATTTTCAATATTTTTGTGGGAATTATAAAATTTATTGATTTTAAGAGTGCATTTTTTTAAAATTCCCAAATTGGGTTCTAAAAATCCCCAATTTCTGGGATTTTGATTTTTCTCCAATTTTGTCCTGAAATATGATTATACATCAAATATATTACATTTTTAAAACACATTTTTATACATATCACAAAAAAAGGTTATAAATTTAAATCCTCTTTCTGGGATTTTCAATTATTTTTGTGGGATTTGCGGAATTTTTCGACTTTTTGATTATTTTGACGAAAGAATGTCTGTGAAATGATAAAGAAACACAATTCTATAAAATTTAAAGACATTTTTCAAATTCCCAAGTTG